AGAGAGAGAGAGGGAGAGAGAGAGAGAGAGAGAGAGAGAGAGAGAGAGAGAGAGAGAGAGAGAGAGAGAGAGAGAGCTACGGTAGGCAGGCCGTAGGTGAGGAGGGCGACGGGATGAGATTGCGGATGTGCATGCAGAGATAGATGTGCAGGTCGTAAAGAAAGCGGAGACGACGGGAGGAGATGGCGGGAGGAGACAGAGGCGGAGGTGAGTGGAGGCGAGTGGAGGTGCGCGGAGGTGTGAGCGGAGGTGGGTCAAGGTAGAAGGAGGTGAGCATAGGTGGGAGGAGGTGGGCGGAGGTGGGCAGAGGTGGGCGGAGGGCAATCGGAGATGGGGGCGGAGGAGGTGAGCGAAGGAGGTGAGTGGAGGCGGGTGGGAAAGAAAGCAGAGACGGCGGGAGAAGATGACGGGAGGAGACGGCGGGCGGAGGTGGGCGGAAGTGGGAGGAGGTGGGCGGAGGTGGGAGGAGGCCGCGAAGTCGGACAGCCCTCGACCCAACGGGCCGTTCGACGCGAACAGGGCCATGGCACCGCCCCGCAACGACCCTCTTCTCAACTGGCGTGCCGATTCGGGCCACCCACGGCCCTACCGGGCCGACGGCCCGAATTTCCACGCGATCTTAAGAGTTTAAGATCACGCATCTATCAACCCTCCGGCAAAGCGGACGGTCTAGATCGCCGCATGACCCTCCAGCATTTGGTGATAGAAAGAGTTAATATTTCCCACTGTGTGCACCCTACTGCCATTGTCCCATAGGGTCCATGAATTATCTGCAAAGGAAAGAGCACTAAAGTGACCTGGACGATATAAGATATATGCCCGAATATTCGGATCCGTGCCTGGCTCGTGGTTTTGCGGAGCAGGCTGGAATTGCGATCGCCTACCCATAAATGCCATAGCCAGGACTTCTATGTTCACCCCACGTGCAGTGTTGTCGTCGTCTGGGCAGACAGCACGGGTGCTCTTCTTCTATCCAGCGAACAACGTCTGCGACATTAGCAACAATAATTGTAAGCAAGGAGACATACATTAATGGCATAGTACGCACAGCGCCCTCGCTGTAGCGCTATGACATTTTCTGATTCCGCAGGTTGTGTGGGGGATCCGTTTACGGCAGGGGGATCCTCTTTCAATTTTGCAGGTTGCCCAGGTGGCGGAGACTAGTTGTGGTCTTGACCAATTGGCTCCGGTTTGTGCTCCGGAGAGAGATGATCTTCAACCGGGGGCTCCGTCAGGTAATCAGGAGACGGGCCATTGTCATTTGGAGCAGGGGAGCGAGTGGGGCTAGGTGGATGAGAGAGGGGCGGGTCAAGTGGGTGAGAATTGGGTGGACCAGACGTGGGAATCGGAAGCTGATCAGCCTCACTTGTGCTTAGGGCGGCTGCTAGTCGTGCAAACGCTCCACAAGTAGCTGCACCTCGTGTCTGGTGCACTCGTAAGCCTACAGCACTGAAGAAATCATCGCCACAATGCGGGCATCGGACTCGATGTGCACTATTCCTCGGAAGTGTATACTGAAAGCGACGATGTCGTTCCGTACGGTTGCGAACATGTCGTCGGAGCAGATCTCTAACCCCTGCAGGGGGCGCAGTGATCATGCCATTCAACGACAAACGAGGCTGTTGTCTTGGAGGTTGTTGTGGAGACAGGGAACGTCTCCGCCAAAGAGGCATCTATAACGACCGATCTAACAACGGATAACTCGACCGACAGGGCCTTTGTGACGACCGATCTGACCATGAGTGAACGAGGAGGTCAATGATGAGGAAGTAGAGGAAGAAGTAGGGGAAGCGGAAGAAGAAGATGATGATGCAAATGACTGCGAGGATGCTGCAACAGAGGACGTCGGTGGGGGTGGCGGTGATGATGGTGGTGGTGGTGTTGATAATGATGGCAGTGATGGCGGTGGTGATGGTGGTGGTGGTGGTGGSGGGGGTGGTGGTGGCGGCAGTGGCAGAGGAGGTGGTGTACCATCAGCAGCAGCAACAACAACAACAGTTGTTGTATTGGTAGGATGCTTGCCTTCATCCATTGCTGCCATCTCTATAACGTTCACATTGTTTACTGCGGCTGGCATGATCTCTGGCCGGGTTGGCGTATCGACATTAGCATCTACCATTTCAGCACGGATAACACGGGGGGGCGGGCGGTCTGCATTTGATTGCGCGGAGGGCTGATGCTGGCTGCGGTCAACATTGGTGTCAGGCGATGAGTGGTGGTCTCTTGTGTGCGGTTGGGTGGAGGACCTGCACACTGAATCAACTTTCGGGAGCGGGTGAGCGATTGCCCAGCGAACCATTCGGCGAAACCAGTTTGAAAGTCGTGTGACATGAGTTGATAGCCGGCGTTGTTAGCCAGGCACATATGCAGTCCAGCCTCTAGCCAGGACACTGGGAGGATGGACCCTGACAAGCATACGTCGTGTCAGGGAAGTCACTGCCGCTTTGAAGTCGGTAGTATTGTTACATATGTTCGAATCTCGTCAGTTGTCCCGTGAGCACACCTGCAGGCTGATGAGCGGGAGCATTGGAGGAAGCACTGGGATAACGTATGACAAGGAACGTCCAGTTCTCGGCCTTATCAAATACGCCAATGCGAAGTGAGCCATCAGGCCGAACCAAGATTTTTGCCCCAAGGTTAAGACATGACCCATCTTGCTCAATAGTGTCTTTCCACTCAAGACC